TATCAGTTTCCTGGTTTTCATAGGGCCGTGCATCTATTTACAAAAGTATACTATCTACAGACTAAAAACTAATTAATATCGTAATAACAAAATAGCATGCAATAATTGTTTTAAATCATATATATATATAATAGTGACATAAATCATGCAAACACTCAACAATCTATGACTTGAAATATCCATTAATAGTACTTTTGAATGAGTCAATAGAGAGTTGATTGTAGTTATCCCTTATTTGCATAGGTAGTTTATTCCATGATGATGATCCACGATAAGAGAAACTATTTTTCATAAAATTCGTCTTAGGTTTTTTTAAACAGAGATTTCTGTTATTACTTCGAAGGCTATAATCATTGTTGAAAGTAGCGGTGAAATGGTTAGATAAATACTCTGGTGCGAAACTTCTAATCGCTTTAAAAGTCATCACAAGTTCGCGTTTTTTCAGAGTGGTTTCTAGTGGTTCCCAATTAAGTTTCTTAAAAATGTCAGAGGAACGTATCTCATAATTAGAACCTGTTATCACACGAGCTGCTCTTTTTTGCAGTTTAACAAGCTTGTTCATATTTGTAGCTTGTCCATAGTTTTTCGCCCTCCTTAGGAGGGCTATATTTTAAAAATTTTCTTACATTGTGCATCGATATGATCTTTCCATTTCAATTCTTTATCAATTTTTACACCCAAGACTTTTTGTCCTGAACTCGTTCCACACTATGGTTTCCAATGACTATGTTCGGATTACGAAATAGGTTATTTAATTTCTGGCGTGATCCAATAATCATGTATTCAGTTTTCTCTTTGTTTAATGTCAGTTTGTTACATGTTAGCCACGTTTAAACATTATTAAGATCGTTATTTAGTTTTTGCTCAATTTGTTCTGATGAAACACCTTCACATGACAAGTTTGTGTCATCCGCAAACATCGAGGCATGCGTTGTTTCAAGGCAATTGGGTAGGTCATTGATATAAATTAAGAACAGTAATGGTCCAAGATTTGATCCTTGAGGGACACCACAATGTAGCGTTTGGGTATTAGATGAAGAGCCTGCAATTTTACAGATTTGTTGTCGCTGTTGAAGATAGGATTGAAACCATTGGAATGCAATCCCACCTACTCCATAGCGTTTAAGTTTTAAAAGAAGAATTTTATGGTCGACTGTATCGAAGGCCTTTTTTAAATCCAGAAACAAAACTCCATTAATTAAGCCCTTATCCATATTAAAAAGCCATTCGTCAGTTGACTGAAGCAGTGTCGTTTCGGTTGAATGCAGTGGCCGAAAGCCAGACTGGTGTTTAGAAATAATGTTATTGTCGTCTAAGAATTTCGTGAGTTGTTCATAAACAATCTTTTCGAATATCTTGGGAACTGCCGAAAGAACTGAGATTGGTCTGTAATTTCCGCAATCTAGTTTACTTCCGGTTTTAAAGATTGGCGTAACTTTTGCAAATTTCATGTCATCAGGGAAAATACCAGTAGATAAAGACAAATTAAAAATGAATGTTAATGGTTCTGTGATAGAGTCACCTGCTAATTTTAGAAGCTTAATTGAAATATTATCAGTGCCTGTTGCTTTGGTAGCTTTCGATTTCTTTAATACACTTTTCACATTTGCTTTTGTAATACTTTTGAAGTTAAAATCAGCTGTCCCTACTGTCACGTATTTCAACGGGTCAACGTCAGTTGTACAGATGTTTTCAGCTAAGTTTGGTCCAATAGTAGCAAAATATTTGTTGTATTCATTAGCAATGTTTTTATCTTCTGTAACAATCTCATTATTCACGGATATCGCATTGAGAGTCGTTGTTTTGGACTTTTTGTTTAATAATTCGTTAATTGTTTTCCAGCTGTCAGCACTATTTTTAGAGTTTGCAAATTTGGTATTGTAGTAATTAGTTTTAGTTTCCTCTATCAGTCTAGTAACTTTGTTTTTGCATCTCTTGTATGCTTCGTGATAATAAGGGGAATTCAGATTAATTGCTTTCTTTTTTAGGTAATCCCTACGGTAGCACAATTCTTTAATTTCGTTTGTTAGCCAAGGTTTATACTCACTTTTGACCTTTTTACGTCTAATTGACCATTTGCGTAATAGACTAAATTTTGAACTAAACAAGTCTAGACAAAAATTTCATCACAGCTTGAAGGAGCATCGCAAAATTAGTAATATTCCAAAGTTTCGTTGCAAAATGTTGTAAAATGCGGAAAATATAGCCTTGCGAAATTTGCAATTTTCAGTCGTTTTAGATTACAAACGGGAAATTG